ATGCAGCAGATGCACGAGAAGAGACTGTGGCTGTCAGGAGAATTTCTCAGTCTGAATTACGGGATTTTCCCATCATTCAGCTTTAACCACTTGCCCCCTTCCCCCCTGGAGCCAATCCCAGCTTTTCTGTTAAACACATCTCTCTGCGTTTTAAGCTGTACACAACAAAGCAGCACAGGGCAGGAAAGCTAAGAATGTGCTTGTACTGCTTATGTTCCTTTTCCTGGAAAATGTGAACTGAATGAAAAACATTCTTTAAGAAGATCCCTGCCCCTCCAGGGTGGACAGAGGAGATGACTTCATTGGGGCTGTTCTCATTCTAATTTGTCTGAGTCTTGGGCCACACAAACTATATATTTTTTCAGTGCGCTGAGGTCTGCCGGGATGCTGGCATTTCCTCCTCCTCATTTACATGGTCTTCCCATAATCTAGCACTAAAACAAGCTGAACTGCATAAGGACTCTCTGCCAATGCCACTCGAGGCTTGCTTACGGAAGACCTCTGGAGAGCGACGGGAGGTGCTCCCTGCCCTTCTCCTCTGCCTATGAAAGGGCTGAGTGTGCTACTTCTGCAGAACTAAGCATTCCTGCCAGCCCATAAATCAAGTGACCAAACTCCATCCCAATCTCTGATCCACTGCAGAAAAGCCCCATACTCTGCCTTTACAGCACACACAGGCTAAAGAGCTGTATTTCATCAACTGAAGCCTTAATATCAGAGGAGAGTCGTTACCTCCTGGGAAAAAAAGAAGCAAAAAAAAAAAAAAGCACAGCCAGTACCTTACTAGTTCTGCAGCTTGGCTTCCCCRTGTTTACACCAAATGACTTGTTGAACTTCATTATATACAAAGTATTTCCATAGATCAGAGGCAGGGAGACCTGTGCAGCTAACATAAAATAAATTACCACTCCATGATAAATGGTTCTATTAGCAATCCAGATTGTTAAACTCAGATACAACAGGATGAAGGGAGCACTGCCCCATTCATTCTCCCTGCGGCAGATACTGAGTTGTAAATAGGTTATTTTGTGTGTAAATAACACATTAAAACTCAGCATTAGCCGTGTCTTTTGATAGAGAGGAAATTGTTCCAAATAAATAATTTCGGACAGGAATGTAAAATAAGCCAGATTTAATAGTGCATGCCTGCTGTAGCTGTGTTAAACATGACTAAAATGATAAACCCCAGAATATACTAATAGTAAACTATGCTCTGACATCAAAGTAATGAGGCTGTATTTTTACCCAGCTTTAGAAATGCTAAAATTAGTCTTGACAGAGCCAGACATCAGAAAAATGTTTCAAACATAAACACCATCAATTTGGGAACTTGGAGTTTGTGTCATGTRGAGGGTGGGGTGGAGAGGGAAAGGTGCATTCTGGGCCTTGTTAAAGTCGGGCAGTTAGCATTTAGGAGAATTTGTCTTTAATTTTTATTACTAGCTGAGAAACCCATCTTCCTAAATATCTCTGCCTTTGAAAAGTGGCTCATTTAAATTCCCCCTACAGCCACGTKCCTGCGCTTCCTCACGCCTGTAGGTACAGAGGACATGTCAGTGCCAGCCTGGAGGACACAGCCCAGCCTCACTCATGTGGTGCAGTGCCCCAAAGCCTCCTACCCTACACAGCAACATCGACGTCTGTACTCAACAAAAGGGTTTTCTGAACTCGAAGTGTTACAAGTTGTCCTCCAGAAGTAGAGACAACAAAACCAAGAGCCTCTTCTGCAGATCTGACTTGTCTGTAGCTCCTACATACTGTCATTACAAACAGTTTCCATCTCAGTCACACATGCACACGTGCCCCACTGAAAAAGGGAGCTTTGACTCCTTGGCCAACATGATTTATGGAAAAACAGAAAATTAGGAGAGACTTCCCTGATGTCGTATCTGTGAGGCCAATTTCTGAACATCTGATCAATGAGTTGCTATAAAAAACTGTCTCAGAAGATGTCTAAAATGGCAGCTTCAGAAGACTAAAAATATGGGATGCAAATTCTTAGTACACTGCCAGCATCAACAATATCGATCTCTTTTCCTACAGCCATAACTTCATTTGTTWGAGGCTGGAAACATTTGGGACAAATATCAAAAGCAAGGGAACTGGAAATGCAGACTGAACATATTATCTTATAATTATATAGTCCAAATAATAATATAATTAAATAGCTATTCTTCAATTATTTAATATTCCTACAATTAAAGTATTCCTTCAACTGTCTTAATTATAAATAAAACCTTACGAATCTACTAATTTCTACAAGTGAAAAAGAAAGCCTTATGATCTGGGAAACATGCAAAACATGCTATGATGGCACTCCTTCTGCGTGACTCAGTAGAATAAAGGAGCAGAAATGTGTTGCAAATTACATTTGTTTGGCTCTGGAGAGCAGCCTGGTGATTTGCAGCACTGGCTGAGCCTCACTGCCACTTTCTCATATGCTAGTACAAAGAGTAAAACCTCTGCAATAAATGAAATCAAGAGTTTGTCTTGGATGAGAATAAAGACTTGCTCATATGGCCCCAAAGCAGGGTGGGGAGCTCAGAGGCCCACCCTTTAAAGCTGATCCCCTCCTCAGGCTGAACTTCCTAATTAATCTCCAAGCCTCGTTTGCTTTCTTCTGTAAAAGTATGAGCATAAATACTTGTATTTCTGGCCTGTTGTGAGTAATTACTCTAGTTTAGAGAATGGAACATGTTATATTAGCACGAACACCATGTAAGTACAGTTTCATCCCTACCCAGCCTTCCTATGATCACCTGCTGAATCACACCTCRCCGTTAACTCATGTTAGGAGATAACTTTGTGTTAATTTTTCTACTCCCAAGCTCATGCACAAGCACACTGCTCCCTCCCTCCCAGGAGCCTGTATTATGTCTAGCCAGAGYTCAAAGGAAAGCCCTTCGAAGCACAAGAGCACGTGCATCACCTGCAGAGCGCCGGGGCCAGCGCCCCACCACACGCTGCTCCACTGCTGCCCATTTTGGGTCATTTATGAGCACTTTTCTTCACAGCATGACAGATTTCACTCCTTACATCTCATTACACAACGCTTTCATCACAGTTCTCCTGMCATCTTCAAACAATCCTCAACTTACTTCTCCACTTCCTCCTAATAAAAGGAGAAATATTGAGCCCATAAATCTTTTTTTTTTTTTTTTTCCAAAGGTGAGAGCACACTGCTAACAGAACGTATTATACTGGATGTTTAAAAACCAATTAGGTCTCCAGGGATGCCAAATGGGCTGATGGACACTCCACCTCGGGGCATCCTCATTTGGATCTCTGGAAATGTTGTGACTGCTTCCTCGGTGGAGGCACTCCCAAGGCAAGTGCCAAGTGGGGAGAAGGTGTTTATTCATAATAGCACATCTGTGGGTTGTGAATTTTAGCACATGCTTGGACAATGTTGGGGCCAATCAACCCTTCAGGCCTGCCAGTCACAGAGATGATACCTCAAGGGGGCTGCCTCAGTAGCTCCTGTAGCCTATGCTTCCTCAGAGACCTGCCAGGGGATGCCAAATTTCTGCATGTTGCTGTCTCCCCTATTTCTGCTTCCCGGCAAGCCTTCCTTTCTCTCACTTGTGCAGTGCTCTCAAGGAAACTGGCTCAGACCTACCAGGAGCACAAAGCTGTGTTGCCCTCCAAACAACTCCCTAAAAGACTTTCAGGTTGCTTTTAMGAAAAAGTTTATCAAACACATGAATTAATCTGATGGATTATAATCTAGCCACTCCTACATCATTCTGGGCATCTGAATCTTGACAGGTAAATGTGAAAAAGACACCTGAGTAGCAGAGTTTATGAAAAAGGAAGAGAGAGAAAGAAGATTTAAGCCATTTTGGTTGGAAATTATCTTTAAAACTCAGRCAACAGAAAACTTGAACTCTCCAGCCAAACTAGGTAAGAAAGAGAGAAGCTCACAGAGGAGTCGCTCTGCTCTCCTGGGGTGATAAAAAAACCACTCTGCAGAGAAGGAAGGGGAGGGGGCAGGTTCATTTCGAGGTGGAGTGATTAGCTATAAGGTATGTTTTAAAAAGGTTAAAAAAAAGCTGCCTGCAAAGTTTACACAGCTGGGATGCCTCTTGACATATCCGAACTGGTGCAGCCCTTCCAAGTTTGTCTCCTATGCCCTGCCCAGAGCGGACACCCAAACCCCAGCAAGGGAAGCTGTGATGGCTCCTCAGCCTTGCCCACAGCTGTGCCAGCATGAAGGGCCTTGGCACCGCTTTGGAGATCACCAGCACCCCTGTGCCAGAGATGGGGGTGTGTTTTGCCTGCCACAGCAGYAGGAGGAGACAGGAGCAACATCCCTGCATGTTCACCTGCAGAGCAGAGTTACACCCACCAGGAATGGCTCCACGCCCACAGGTGTCCACAAAAGCTTCCCAGTTGGCTTCAACAGCAGCAAGACCAAAATCTTGCTCAACATTCTGACTTGAACAGGAAYGGCACAAGTGGAGGGGTTTCCCTGTGAACATTCTTGCATTGGGTCTGGAATTCCCAAATTCCTCCCTAACTGTGAAATCCCAACAGCAATGACTGAACTGTGCAGTCTATTAGCTCATTAGCAGGCTCACAGCTGGGACAGGACACCCCTTCCTGACCAGGAGAACGAGGTGCTCCCCATCTCAGCCAGCCTCACCAGCCATCCTTTAACTCCATCACAGAGGAGGGGAGAACACAGTGCTGCCCACACTACACAGCACCAGTCAGCTCCTGGCAAGCACTGATGGGGTCCCCCAGCTCCCCAAGAGCCACCACTCACCACCCATCCCCTCCTCACCCCAGCCCAGCTCTCTGGGAGTGGTGGTGACCCATCACACTACAGTGACATTTAGCTGCGGTGCAGTGACACAGCTTCCAGTTCCTCTGACAGCCAGGAATCCCAATAAACTCAGCGTGTTCACAGGAAGACAGATGCCACCATACTTATTAAATTCTTACAGTCTAATGAAAAACACCCCTGCTGCTTTCAAATTGTGGAAAACATAAAGTACCTCCTTGTGCCACTGCCGCTCCTGCTGCTGTTAAAGGAGAGGGTTTCTTCCCCGTCTCTGTAAAGCCATTCCCCTCCAGAACAGCACCTTTCCCTTCTTTTTTCCCAGCAGTTGTTGAAGCAGAAGTTTCCATCTTAGACGGGCATCTTCCAGCTCAGGAACCCTAGAGGACATAAAAGAAAACCAGATTCTGGTCACCGCTCACAAAATAAGCAAAATCAGCTCTATGAAGAGTCAGCCAATGGTTTGGCAGAGTTCAAAAGCAGACGGCGAGCAGCAAAGAATTCCTGGGTTTCCAACTCCAGCCAGTACAGCAGCCACAGGCACTAAGGGCACAACCATGTACAGAGCTGGGTGTTCACATAGACTACAAAGATCAGGACCAAAAACCAAACTTTCCCCATGCTAACTTGGGCTACACAGTTAAGTTTACAGGTCCAAAGACTTTTCCAGGATTAAAGGATAGGTGAGATGCAAATATTTAGCACACATAAATTGATTTGTCCATCCTATAACTGACCTAGACCACCCTAAGAAAAAAATCAGCTAAAAAATTTCTAATCAAATACAGATAAACATTTATTTAAAGTTTGTTTTTTTTTTTTCTTTCCCACAGTGGGTGCTTACGCTGTGCGGTGGTTTGGAATCAATGTCATGATCAGAACTTTCCAGCAATGCTTACGGATCAGCCACAGCAGGTCTGCTACTCCCCAACAAGTTCTCGCTGGTGAGGTCTAACAAACACTGAGCCCTCGCTCTAAAAAGCTCTTTTATACTGAGCAATTGCAGCTGATAATCAGCTACAGCTTTACCCAATTATTAATTAAGTAATCAGCTACAGCTTTACCCAATTATTAAGTAATCAGCTACAGCTTTACCCAATTATTAATTAAGTAAATGCCGTGAAACATCTTCAAAACAAGAAGATACCAAAGTACAAATAACCTGGGTTTTTTAACTTAGATTGATGAAACTTAGCAGCTCTTGAACTTTTAATCAGCTTGGTTATGCATGGTTCAGACTTAAATGGTCTCCCAAACACAAACACGTGGGTATCCCAGATTTAGTGTAAAAACAGGTTTTATCTTAAATGAAGAGGCATACTTTGTTTTTGAATGCAAATTCTTTTATCCCCCTCATTTTAATTTGTTTTATTTCACATGTCTCCACCTGACTCCTGCTTGCACATAACCAGCACAGTTACCTGGCACCACCAGCCTCAGGCTGGTCTTGGGAAAACCCACTGCTAATTCCTCTTTCCTTTCTAGTTTTAATGCAGATCTACAATTTTTCACATGTAAATTTTCAAATGCAAATTTTTCAGCTCCTGACACTCTGGAGCTCACTGCTGCTTACCTTACTGGAATTAAGGGGMTCAGGCAAAAAGGATCTGGCAAACCAGAAAACCTTTTTGTGTGTACAGGTATTTTTATCGCTGTTGTGCCAACTCAGATTAGAAGAGTTTGCTCTGGAGGACTGACTGACTGACTGACTCCTGAACATCTTGGAACTTTAAAGCACAACGATTTCAGGTCTATGGCGGATGAGGAGGACTGTGACGCTGTCTGGGCTCTGGGGGATGGTGTCCCACCAAGCAGCTGTGGACTGCAGCCCGAGCAGTTTGTCCCAGGAGCCTTCAGGCACGGCTCACGTTAATGGGACAGCGCAGTGATGGATCTGCGGTCACAGGCTGCAGCTGTAAACTGCAGTGCTCGCATTGGGAATGACAGGGCCTGCAATTACAGGCTTTACTGATGACACGAGGCTCCAGTGAATACTGAGGTGGCCCCTCAAGGTCCTGCCCCGGCATGTGCTGGGCTTGATGGCAAAAGTGGGATGGGTTCCTGGGGGCCAGGACTTTACAGTGGTTTAATCCAGGAACCAGGTTGGGTTACAGACCACGTATGAAATAAATACACCCGAACTGCAGGAGTATTTGACCTAGGTCTGACAGCCTGGGCTTCTGTTCGTTAAGCAAATAAACTTCAGAGGCTCTATTACTAACCCCCCACCTGTTTCTTCTTAGTCCCTCCTTTCAAGGCTTTGCACTTTTGTTTGAAACCAGACGCTGGCCCTCACACCCCGACCCCCCTTCTCCCGGTACCCTGACCCTGGGGCAGCCCCGGGGGTGAGGGAGCATCCTCGGGCACTGCAGAGCTCAGCAGCCAGCAAGGGGAAGGAAGGAACTACTAACAGGACTTGTTCTGTGAAACATGCAGGTTAGAGCTGTGCTTTTTTTCCAGAGAGATGCCTGAAGCAAAATCTCTAAATCCCTGCCACAGACACCTCAGTAGGGGCCCAGTTTTTCAGATGTGTCATTTATCCACCTGGAATGTGACAGGAGATCATGCCCGTATTTGAAAACCCGGTCTTTGCAGCTGCAATGTTCTCTTTTCAGATGAATTATGTATTTAAAAAAAAAATATTTGAGTGTTTGTAATAAGTGGTTATATTAAACAGGTAAATCCTCAAATACCAGATTAAAAAAAAAATAATGCAACTACTCTAATCTCACAGGATTTAGGGTAATAAGTCTATAATTATTTTTGCTTCGTAAAGGTGCCTGGGGCAGAGCAGGCTGACTGTGAGGTTCTGAGCTTTTCCCCAAGTCAGCAGCAACCAAAAGTCATTTTCCTTTCTGAGCACCCCACAGCCAGAACTGATCATCCCAGCTCAGGACRACACAAGCATCCTCCCTGCTGGATCCTGCTCTGCTCAGCATCTCTGCCCACGGATCAGAACAGAGACCAGTGAGCAAAGGAGCACCAATACTGATTTCATATCCCACCTTCTGGAGTTTCACAGTGGCCAAGAGCTAGAGAACGGCAGACTTCCCCATGGTGCAGTGTGACCAGGACACAGCACTGGAACTCTGGAGATTTAGATCCCCATCATGGATCTGCTACAGTCTCCTCAGTGTCCCTGGGCAAAAAGCTTAACTTCTCTCTTGCAGCCCGTTTCCACAGCCGTAAAACAGGAAATAGTACTTTGCCCTATTTGCAAAGTGCTTTGAGATCCTTCGAGGCACAAGGCTATGGAAGTGTTTTTATTGCCAGTATAAGAAGATATATGTGTGGAGGCAGTCAATCCACACTATCCAGGAGCACAACATTCATTTTTTTAAGCAATTCATACTTTGCTTTCTGTTTGATGCTAAACTTTTTCTGCTGCTCTGTGCCACACGGAATTTATAAATTCAGTGACAGATTAATCTTAGCAGCGAGCCATTTGGCATGAAAAAGGGTTTCACAGGGAGCCTGCTTTTTCCTGTAAAGAGCATGCATTTAGGAGTGACTATACAGAGAAAGACCCTATGCACTTATTCAAGCACAACTCTCTGCCCTCCGTCATTACTCAGAATTAGAAAACCAGAATGGATTACTCAGATTTTTCCTAAGGTTTGTAGCTTTCTCTGCAGGAGGAGGGTTGGGTAATTGATTTTGACACTAATACCAGCACTATTCATATGCCCTGTAATATAATTCTGCAGTGACACTAAAACGACAGCCATCTGAGATCTGAACAAGCAAAGTGCTATATGATTTGCCCTAGACAACCCCAGCTATTTTAACAGCTGTGTTGTGTATTAAAAGGGAGAAATCCCAACAGAATTAAAAACAACAAAGTCACATTTGCCTTTGAGGGAAAACAAGAAGCCGTAAACTTTCCTAATAAAACAATCCCTCCTGCTAAGTGCTTGGGGAATGGTCAAACGTGCTGTCCAACAATGCCTGTCTCCTTTGGAAGGTATCAGCCTGAGGAGGACTGCTAACAAACTTAGCAACAAACAGATACTCATCAGCTATACCCTCTGYACACCCTTTTCTTTTGAAAAGACATTTCCTTCTTTGGGATTTTTCTTTCTTCAGGAAACCCCCTTCTCCTCCCCCAGACAGGGCAGAAAACATTTTTTTTTTTCTCTGTCAAAAATGAATGACCAATTTTGGCTATTTCCACTCAAAGACTAAGCAGCACCATGGGAGTGATCCTCTCCTGTCAGAGGGCAGGCACTGCTAGTGACAGGGTGACACAGGTCCAATCCTGAATGCCACCTACAAGCCTGGCAGCCTCATGGTAGGGGCAGAAAGGGATTTCCAGAGCATGCATCCAGAAGCCATCTCGCTTTTGGGAATATTTTGGGCTTTCTCAAACCAGTGTGTATTCTCTATTTTGAGTCCATCTCTACCTGATCTCCCCCCATGCACAGCCCCAGCAGTGCTGGCAAGGCGGCATCACCTCCAAGAACACGCTGGAGGTGTGCAGGCTGCTGAGACCAGCAGCACAGGCAGGATGCTGCTCCACTGCTGCTGGCTCCTGGCGAGACTGATGGGAGCTGGGATAAGCGAGGGCAGCCTTTGCACTGCTCTCGCCAGGATGGTGCTCACACACCCACAGGGAGACACTAAATCAATTTTGCCACATCACCCCCAGAGGTACAATCCCAGCTCAATTGCTTTCCCTGCCATGCTGCTTTAGTTAAGATAAACAAGGAGATACTCCCACCATCTCTTCTTCTGCAGTGGACTGTGTCATACAGCTAAAGCCTTCTGAATACATATCTACTTTTGAAATTCAGGGTGAGCCAACTGCTCTGAACGTTGGCTTAATACAGTGGCTGCTGTGATCCTTTTCAGTCTCCCAGGGTTTCAGCCAAATTATGTTCTCAATTACAGGGAAGTAGCAGCAGTTAACCCGGTGAAGTCATAGGCTCTGTACCACAGCAAAACTTGACCCCTCTATTTTCTTTATATCAGCATCAGCTTCAAATTACTAAAGAAAGCTTTTTCTGTCTAAATGCCATCACTAAATCTTGGGACTATCCAAACATGCTGTCTGCGGCTGCAGGGACCTACAAGCGTTTACAGAATATCAATCTCAGGTAAAAGCAGCATAAATATTAATTCAGAACTAATCACTTTTGAGGTCCTCCTGACACAAGATTTCCCATCTTGAAACTTCTTAGGAATGATCTGCTCGGGCCAATCCTACAGGGTCGATTACACATGGAAATTAGAGCAGTACACTGGGGCAGTAGCTCTCTGTCTGGGGGCTGCTCCTGCCCCTTCCCCTCGAGAAACCTTCTGTGGTGGGTCCCAGCTTTGAGAAGGAAGGAAGCAGAGACAAACCCATGCTGACAGAAGCAGTGTTAGGAGGGCACAGAGCTGCTCAAGGCTTATTTTATTTTTTT